AGGCTGGTTGTCACAGCTGGTGTGGATTTGAACACTCAGTTCGAACTAACCCCTGACCCATGATGCTTCTGTTTCTGAGATATACCTTTACAGTCATCCTGTTCAGACAGCAATCTCTAAATCGTGTCTTGGTGACAAGAGGAATGTGACATCTGAACAGTACCTTTCTATATTATTGTAATACATTTGTGAATAAACTTTGGTGCTCTGGTCCATTGTAAGTTCTGTGGAGAATAAGGGAAAGGATTGGGTGGGTTAAGAAGGCAAAATAGGACAGGGATCAGTTCCTCCTTGGAATGGACATTTTGGAGGGTAGGCTCTCTCACCACCACCAGACATCTTCCTTCCTCAAACTCTGCCCTCCTCAGGCATCCCCCCCTAATCTCCAGGAATTTCCCAAGCTAGCATTGGCAACCCCAAGGCAAATATTTCTCAATGGCCATTTTATCTCTGCAGCCAGGGGAGGTAGAAACAGAATACTTTTAAAAAAAATCAGAGTCCCTGCCATATTTTCTTACTCCATCCCACCTCATCTCCTAATTTAGATCTCATGGTCCTTAATATCTTTCTATCCCCATACATTAGGCAGTATGGGAGAAAAGTGGGACCATATAAACAAGTGGTTTATATGATCCCACTTTTCTCCCTCATTGCCTATTGTGAGAGGGTAGATATTTAAAATAAGCTTTGACCTGCCTGTAGGCTTTCCAGGGGCAGTTGATGGACCACAGTGAAAAGCAAGACTACTGGACTATTTAATTACTTCACTTATGGCCTAATTCCCTCCCCAATAGGGATCCAAAGCAGCTTACAACATTCTCTGTTTCATCTTCACAACAACCCTGTAAGGTAGGCTAAGTTGAATGTGTGACTGGCCCTAAATCACTCAACAAGTTTCCATGGAATAGTGGGGGTTCAAACCCGAGTCTTCCAGGTACACCATATTAGACTACATGGACTTACAGGCAGCGGCAGAGGAGAATACTGCCATTCAGTATCAGGTTCATACTACTTGGGAAATGTTATCCTTGTTTCATAATCAGTTTTCTTGCTTTAAACATTCTCAGGTTTGTAAGCTAGTTTGGACAAGAAAAAGGCAAGATGTAATTTTTACAAAATATATTTTTATTTACACTCAACTTGTCAACTTCTAGGTACACAAAGTGGCTAATATAAAAAATATTATCCACTTCAGAATTAAAGCAATACAACCACTGAATAAAACTGCTGAAAAGCAAGAGTCAACCATCAGCTCTTATCCCATCACTTTGTGCTGTTTAAGGTAATCAATTCAGGCCTTTGAGTCATCAAAACAGGCAAAGCATGGCCATGCTTTCCTGTTTTCAGTCCCACCAGAAATGTTAAAAGGCAACAATACAATGTCTGAATTCCACCAAGGGTATCTCTCGTTTTTGTTGTCGACTCACTAGGATCTTCAACTGTGTTAAACCTGTGTAGGCACTTCATGAATTTTGAGAAAAGGACAGTGGGTGCCACTATGAAATGGCTGCCATTGGAAACAGAACCTATCACAAAATGGCTGCCATGAAGGGCAATTACAAAATACAGGGAGATACCAGGCATCCTCCCATGACATGGGGGCAGACATTTCAGAAGGGGTGCTCCTGGCAGATTCAAAGATGATGCCTCTTGAGGGTCTTATGATGCACTTCCTGCTCCAGGGAAATGGAAGGAAGGCAAGAGTGTGGAAGAAGAAAACAGAGACCAGGAAACACAGCTGCCACAATGGGGATCACACTCGTTGAGACTCCACTTACCTAAGTTGGTTTTTCTTGTCTTCCTCTGACTTCCTTATTAACTTACTAATGGGAACCCTTATTAACTAATGGGAAACCAAAGTGGCTTATATCATTCTCCTCTCCTCCATTTTATCCTCACAAGAAGTTTGTGAGGTAGGTTAGGCTGAGAGTGAATGATGTCCCAAAGTCACCCAGCAAGCTTCCATGGCAGAACAGAAGGTATCCCAGATCTTAGTCTGACACACTGGCCACTATACCATGTTATAGGTCCAGGTGGTCAGCCATGTTGGTCTGAAGCAGTAGAACAAATTTAGAGGCCAGTGGCACCTTTAAGACCAACAAAGGTTTATTCAAGGTATGAGCTTTTGTGTGCAAGGCACACTTTTTCAAATTCAATTCAATTCAAAACCTTTATTGGCATGGATGCTTTTTCAAATTCTTTTTAATACTTTTCAAATATTTGAAAAAGTGTGCCTTGCACACAAAAGCTCACACGTTGAATAAACCTTTGTTGGCCTTAAAGGTGCCACTGGACTCTAAATTTGTTCTATACCATGTTATGTTAGTATTTATTTATCTATTTATTCAATTTGTACCCCGCCCTCCCCGCGAACAGGCTCAGAGCAGCTCACAGAGTCGGTACAAAATACCAATAAAACCACATTAAAACAATTCAGATACAAATGAGTCATAAAATCATAGATGCTAATTGTCCATCATTATAGTTAATTAAGATGGCGTACTAAGAGTGTTGCAAGCAGACAATCTAGCTCATGACCTTCTTGAGCCACATGATGGTCTAGGCCAGCTGTTAGGCTAAGGGCCAGGCTCATTGATGGTAATGATCAGGGCGGCTCCTAGTCGAAAGCCTGGTGGAAGAGCTCCGTCTTGCAGGCCCAGTGGAACTGTAAGAGGTCCCGCAGGGCCCTGATCTCTTCCGGGAGCTCATTCTACCAGCAAGGAGCCGCCACTGAAAAGGCCCTGGCCCTGGCAAGCCTGGTGTCTTTTGGGGCCCGAGGGGGTCAGTCGGTTCTGTGACCCCGACCACAGTGCTATCTGGGGTATATATGAGGAAAGGAGGTCCCCCTCAGGTATGTCGGACCCTAGCCATATAGGGCTTTAAAGGTAAGCACCAGCACCTTGAAGTGAATTCGGTATGCTATTGGCAGCCAGTGCAGTGCCTTCAGCGCAGGTCGGATGTGCTCCCATCCGGGCAGGCAGCAGCCTGGCTGTGGCATTTCACACTAGCTGCAGCTTCCGAATTTGCAACAAGGGCAGCCCCATGTAGAGAGCATTACAGTAGTCTAGTCTTGAGGTGACCATCGCATGGATCACTGTGGCCAGGTTGTTGCGGTTAAGGAAGGGAGCCAACTACCTAACCAGCCGGAGATGGTAAAAGGCCAATTTAGCAGTGGCTGCTACCTGGGACTCCATTGTTAAGGAGGCATCCAGGAGCCCTCCCAAGCTCCTAACCTCCGGCACTTGCACCAATGGTGTCCCACCGAAGGTCAGGAGTGGGACCCCCCCCCGTACCGCCCCGACCCACACACAGGACCTCCGTCTTCACTGGATTCAGCTTCAGCTGACTCAGCCTGAGCCAACCAGCCACGGCTTGTAACACCCGGTCCAAGTCTTCTGGTCTGGAGTCCGATTGGCCACCCATCATCAGATAGAGCTGGGCGTCATCAGTGTACTGGTGACATCTCAACCCGTGCCTCCGGGCTATCTGGGCAAGGGGGCGCATATAGATGTTAGATAACATCGGTGAAAGCACTGCCCCTTGAGGCACTCCACATTCCAGCAGGTGCCTCCTGGACTGCTGTTCCCCTAGTGCCACCCTTTGTCCCCGACCTTGGAGGAAAGAAGCAAGCCATTGCAGGGCAAGCCCCTGAATTCCCATGTCGTCGAGGCGGTGGAACAGCAACTGATGGTCGACTGTGTCGAATGCAGCCAACAGGTCCAACAACAACAGTACTGCCGAACCGCCCCAATCCAGATGCCTCCGGAGGTCATCAGTCAGAATGACCAATGTCGTCTCCGTCCATATCAGTACCCAATACTTAACAAATGTTCACTAAAGTTTTCACCATACGCAGTTCATCTGGGGGTGGCACAGATTATCAGATGCCCACATGATAGTTACCATGAGCATTTAATAATTTAAAGGCTAGATTAATGTCTTTGTAAGACACCAATAGGAAATTGTCAAGAATCCAGGCTCTGTGGCACAGCACTCACATCACATGGAGAACATGTCAGGTTAACTCCCTGGCCACTCTCACTAAAAGGATTTCAAATAGCGGTGAAAACCAACGATTACATTCAATTATTTTTTCCTTCACTTTGTCCATTGAAGATATCACTGGATAGTAATTTATCAAGTGAATTCTAGACAACATTAAGAAGCAGTTTACAAAATTCAGTAAGCCCACCTCCTCAGCTCAAAGCCACAGTCCAAAGACAGGGGATGTTTCCAATCGAAAACTTCACACAACACAACCTGCTTGCTTTTAATATGCCTTTCATAATAACTTTTAAATAAATAGATTTTAAGCATAATTCCAGGTAATAACTTTATGTTTTCACTCCTGCCTCAATGAAAACTGGCTCCTGAAGCAACTATCATCACTTACCTTTTTAAGCTTCAGTTTACTTTTAGGGTTTTTTTGCCATTAACTACTTCCAAAGAAGAGTTTCAGGTTGAAACACACTTGGGGAATTACGAACTCTGAAGAGGGAGGGAACAAGTTGCAAATCATTTTGTAGTGGGATTGTGGCTTACCAGCAAAGCTTCTGGTTTATATGTGGAAGGACCCAGGTTCAACCCCCTGCATCGCCAGTTAAAAGGACCAGGAAGCAGGTGATATGAAAGATCTCTGCCTGGGATAGGCTTGCCAAGTCCCCCCGGGGGGTGGGGAACCCGAGAAGCCCGTTACCTGCCGCCAGTGGATCAGGCCCGGGGGGAACCCCACCCCCAAAGCACGTGACATGCCCGGCGTCAGCACGTCACCCAGAAGTGACGCAATCATGTCGGGGGTGGGGCCACAATCATCTGAGGGAAAACTTTATGGTTGTGGCCCCGCCCCCAATGTGCCCGACGTGATTGCGTCACTTCCGGGTGACGTAATTGCGGTGCGCACATGGATTCCTGGAACAAGACTGGACTCCCCCGCTCTTCAACAGGTGAGGACTTGGCAACCCTAGCCTGAGACCCTGGAGAGCACAACTGCTAGTCAGAGTAGGCAATACTGACCTTGATAGAGCAAAGGCCTGACTTGGCACAAGGCAGCTTCATGTGTGAACTTTACCAATTTTCAACTGGCCTGTTGATCCATACAGAGCAGAATTCCCCCTCTCTACCCACTTTCCCCCTCACACCATCACGATGTCCTTTCCCTTTAAAAAAACCCCAAGATGTCCATGACAGAGTGAATAAAAATCTTCTTCCTCTCAGTTCTGAATTGGGTTCTTTGATATTCAGCCCCTTCTCTAAACGGAGGAGATCCCTCTGGAGCTTTGTGGGGAAGGATTCTTTATCCCACAAAATATAACTGTCCTGACAGTTGATGGAGTTTATGGAGAAACCATGGCGTCTTCTGAGCTGACCGCAGAGGCGGTGCCTGTTCTGGCACCATCTTCATGCCTGACCATTTGGGCCCACCATGATTGTATTTCCTGATACAGTTCCTGATTTTGTACTTTCCAGTGCCTGAATTTCTCAGAGGTTAGTTCAGAATCATCCAGGAGGGCATTGAGTAGCTGGAGTTCAGCAGTTTTTGCCTAAGGAAGAAAGAGAGCATCGCTTGAATGTACCGGTTGCTTCTTAAAAAGCCACTGAAGCCTAGATGAGTCAGGCAGAGATTCCCAAGGTTTTTATTACATCCAAATGGCCTCTCTTTAAGATATAAACCATCCTGTTCCCCACCACCACCAATTTGCCATAAGCTGTTTTAAAGCCTTTGTAATAAAACAGAAATGAGTCCCAATTGTTACTTCCTTTGACAGGGAGATTTGGATGCTGCCAAGATTTAAAGCCATGCTGCTTTTCTTAGGACAGCTGAAGGCATTTTATTGAACCAAGATATAACACTATTAATTATGGCCCAAGACTCATGACTGAAGGACATTACACACAATTGGCAGTGGCACCACTTCTATTTTCTCATGACCTTAAGCAGGAAGTCCACAACGGTGCTTCTCCAGGATCACAAAAACGTGATCCTGATCTAAACAGTAGACACTTTGATGCTCTTCAGTGGGTACCCTATAACATGATGCCCAAAACAGGCCATATCATATTTCCCCCACAGTATATAGTTCACCCTGTTTTGGCATGGGGCCTGTTTGACATGCCTCAGCTTGTTCCCGAGGTCCAAAGGGTTCAGAGAAAGACATGCACGCAGATTCGTAATGGAGAAACATCGAATCCAAATTTCAACTGTGTGGCTATTACCAACCCCCATCTGTCGCAAAAGAATGCTGAGACGCAAACAAAAGCTCAGACAGAATGCCCCAGTACTTTGTAACTGGTTTCCAGGTAATGCATGACAAATCCTGAAGGCCACAAACCTTGTGCAATCTTACTTTTGGGCCAGGGCTCTTTTTGTAGAAAAAGCCCAGCAGGAACTCATTAGCATAATAGGCCACACCCAACACCAGAAACTCATTAGCATATTAGGCCACACCCCTGACAGCACAGCTCATTAGCACATTAGGCCGCACTCCCACATTACCAGAAGTGTGGTCATCCAGCCACACCCACCTTTTGCTTTTTATTCTGTTTACCTTGTTTGTTGTCAAAACCCAGGCTTTTTTTTGTAGCAGGAACTCCTTTGCATGTTAGGCCACACACCCCTAATGTAGCCAATCCTAATGAGTTTCTGCTGTTGGGTGTGGCCTATTATGCTAATGAGTTTCTGCTGGGCGTGGCCAACTCGGGAGCCAGCCGGAACTCCGTTCCTGTGTGTTCCTGCCCAAAAATAGCCCTGCTTTTGGCCTTGATACAGGTTTTTTTTTTTAAAGTAATGTTATAGAAACTGCATACAATTTCCTTAGAACTGGTAGGGATTTGAGCCTGGGCCCCTCAGTCTGGTCTGAGGCTAGCCACTCTGCATCTTGTATTTTAGAAAAGAGTTGGAAAAAAGAGACCCATCACCTGTGCTAAAAACAGAGGGGGCTTCCCAATCTAAGTTACACTCCACCTACCTTGAGTGTGCTTTGAAGGGTCCGAATGAGATGCACCTTCTCATTTATCTCTGGATTCTTGTTACGTTTGACGAAAGATTTCCGGTATTGCTCACGGGTGAACATTTGCTGCTTGCCAATGAGAGAGACACCCCCTTGCTTCAAACACTTGATCAGGGACTCGAGTTCTTCTCCACCAGGGTCTGCATAGACAAGTTGAAAGCCATAAGCAAAAGTAGGGAGTGTGGGAGCAGGGCCAACCCTTCAGAAAGAGTGAGATAATGGTGCCTCGGCAGCAAGAACTCTGTCACACAACATGCATTTTTCTTCCAGTTTAAAATCCTGTACACTGTATAGAATCCTGAGAATAATGAATCAGTGCTTAAAAGATTCAAATCCTTATTTGGGCAATCTTTCTTATGAATTAGAATGAAAAAATAAGGGACCAAACATAACCATTTGCTTTCATTAATTGTAATAAGCACCCTTCTTATATGTATCCAGGCATTATGTAATATACTGTATGCAATGAAAATAATATAAAAAGAGACTCTAGTACTTAGGAAACAGGATTTTTTTCTTTAAGAAACCCCACTCTTGCATAATTCTGAAAGAGACTTAGAAGCTAGAGGGGGAGTTACCTGCCATGAGGTGAGCCAACATGTTCGACAATCGGATGAATACTGCTTTACAGAATCAATGGCAGGTTGCTGTCCAGAGCAGCAGGTTTGCAAGAGAGCACTTGTCACGGGAACGTATGCCTAGTCCCCCCCCCCATTCCCACCATACTTGGGTCAAGTTTTGGTTTGTAAACTCCTTGGCAGTGTACAGTACTCTGTAAAGCACCTGGCACACCAGTGGTGTACAAATACTATTAATTGCAACAACAACTTACACCTGAACTTCAAAACAGGCAGGGGTCTTCCTTGCTCAGCACAGTCCTGGAGCAACACCTGCTGCTGAGGAACAGCAAGGGCTCTGAGATCTAACCTAGTCATCTAACAACCAGGGTCATTTTCTCTGAAGGAGGGTTTTTGTTTTTTTTAATGGAGCTTTCTGTGTGGAGGAACTTTTTTTGTACAGAGAAGCATTTGGCCAGGAAAGGCCCCCACCCCACCCAACTGCAGTGATGGCGAACCTTTTAGAGACCGAGTGCCCAAACTGTGACCCAAAACCCACTTATTTATTGCAAGGTGCCAACACGGCAATTTAACCTGAATACTGAGGTTTTACTTTAGAAAAAACAACTCATACATTAACTTAAGATGATCCAAACAAAGCAAGGAAAGCCATCCCAAATGCTTTCATTTACTTAAAATTATTTGGCAGAGAATTCGACACTTTAATGATGGTCTGGGCCTGGCACGCGTGCCCACAGAGAGGGCTCTGAGTGCCACCTCTGGCACCCGTGCCATAGGTTTGCCACCACTGCCCTATTGGCTGAAGTAGTATAGCCTAGACATAGATTTATCACCCCTTGGCCCAACATAAAAGTATCCTGAACGTTTCCCCTTCCCAACAAAAATGGGTCCTTTCTGCTTATACAGTTTTGGACCCCTCGATTTTGCTACTTGTACTGAGTGACCATGGTTGGACCTTGATGATCCTCAGAATTTGAGATTCGGTTTTTATCCTTGTCACCTGTGGAAGAAAGATGAATGGAACTCACCTGTGGGAGAGGAGGCTGGACTCCCATATGCCTTTTGCCTTGAGAGTGGGCTATTGAGGGGACTTCCACTTGGGGTTTCATTACTCCCTGTTAGCAGCTGGTCTTGTTCCAATTCCCTCCGTTTTGGCTGCTGGGAAAAATAAGTTTTTTAGGGTTGTTCAAGGAGAGACTGGCTGGATCAGACAAAAAGTCCATCCTATTTGTCACAACGACTGGTTAGATTCCCCTTGGAAGTCTAGCAGCAGCACCAAGGCCTCCTGTTGTAGCACCCCAGCAATTGGCATTCAGAGGTATATGATCATGGAGGTTTCATCCAGCCATCATGCCTAATTGCCGACAACAAATTAGTCCTCCATAAAATGTGTCTGAATCCCTCCTTTACAGCTACCCTCTTATGGCACGACATCTTATGGCAAAAATTCTATGTTAAAAATTCTTGGTGAAGTAGTCCTTCCTTTCGTCTGTCCTGAATCAACTGCCAGCCAATTTGATCCAGTGATCCCAACTTCAAGTTATTACAAGAAAATTCTCTCTACTTTCCTTTCTCAAAATTAGGCATCATTTTATAAATCTAGGAAATGGGAGGGGGGTTGTCAGAGAATTCGATACACTTCTGTATAAAAGGAAAGTTGATCACACCCTCCCCACCCAATAACACTGCTGATGGAGGCCAGGGGTCCAATCAGTAAGACACTCACCTCGTCGAAGTTAGGTCTTGGCGAGTCATCCTCAGGGTCTTCTGCTTCGGTTTCACTGTAGCAATCTGG